CTGCAACAACATCCTCTCAAGAGAGAAGAAGGAACAAGAGGAGGGAAAGCAAGTCTCCACAACCTTGTTCCTCCTATGAGTAAGGAGATACAAGGATCTCTCTTACACCTCCCATCACACTTCCTCCCACCAAAACTAAGGTACCACATTCCTTCCATTGTACATACCATACATTTTTATTTTTGTGTGTTTATTTTTGCATCTCTCTCTCTCACTCTCTCTCTCTCTCTCTCTCTCTCTCTCTCTCTCTCTCTTATTACACAAAGAGAATATGTAATCTAAGTATAGGAGAGAGGCTTGTGTATATTTGACATTGTGTTCTCTTAGTTTTTCTTTGCATTCATCCTTGAGTCTCATGTATTTTATTCATACATCTAAGTGCATAGAAAATCCATAAAAATCAAAAAATTTGAAAGTTTTTGCATCTTTTGCAAACCAAAAAGAAAGTCATGTAGTTGCATTCACTTATGTAGGATTGAGTCTAGTGTTTTCATATAGGTTGCATTGCATTTTCATAGGGTACAATGATGATAGTTCCTTGTAAAATGCTAAGTGTTTAGAAATGAATTCAATGTCTAAGTGGTTAAGTGTGTGATGCATCTTGAAATGTTTCGAAGTTAAGGCTGAACCATGCTTTGAATGGTAAATTTGATTCTCTGTTCTCATGCTGAAACCATTTGTTCATTGAAAATCAACTCTATCTTATTAGAACCTTAATCCTGAATTTGAATTATATTGTTTGTGCATTGAAAGTGATTACATGGCTACCCATATACATACTTGGATTATCTTCTTCCTTTGTTACTACTCTTGTTAATCCAAGTAGCTGATCCTCATCATTATGGGACAGTTATCCACACCTTAAACCAATCATTCTTTCTAAATCCAAACACTTTTGTGAGAATTGTGAGGCCTTGCATTGCATATTTTTGATTTTATCTTGGCAAAAAGTGTTAATATTAAGGCTGGCAAGGAGAGGCTCTCTTGTAGATACCAGTTTGCATTTTGAACTTGGTACTAGGTTAGGAGATTGAGAAAGGGTAGTGCTAAGTGGTTTAAGCTTTAACTGTTTACATATTTTGAGAGTTCAAGAAGTGTGGGAATTGTAGTGTATGGAAGATAAATAGATTTTGTGGTTAAGTGGCTATGAGAATGTGCCTACAACAAAAAAGCTTACAAAGGTCATCCAAAAGGAGAAATCAGACCAAGCAATCCACCAAAGGTGATGAAAATGGCGCCTACACAACAAAGAAGAGCAAGTTCCAAAAAGAAATCAACCACACAAGCAAAAGAAGAAGAAGTTTCCCCACATATCAAAAAGAAAGAGATGGCAAGTGCTTTGAGAAATGGTAGATCTTGGGGTTTCACTTGGGACTTAGAATTTATTGGTTCATCTTTGGGTAAAAAGGGTAAAAGATAGCTTTTACTTGCATGCATAAGTGTGCTTTTACCTTTAGCATTTTGCCTAAGATAGAATCATTTCATTTGAGTGATCCCTTTGATCCTTTGAACCCTTATTGCATGAAATCATTTTCATCTCATAACCATGTCCCTTAGACCAATTGTTTTCACTTACTTTGCACAAACTTGATCCATTGGTTACATGTTTAATAAATGTTAAAGAGTTGACTGATTTGAGCATTTCTCTAGGCTGAGTTTGAGATCATTTTAAAACTGGATAAGAATCGCTAGGTTCTTTGAAGTATGACTGATCATGATATGCATCACACAATTAGACATTTGGACATTTATTTGATTTCTTTACCTTAGCATTTTTGGATTTGAGTACCCACCTTTAAACCTCATCTCCCATTTGTCTTAGTTTGTTTGTTTGAAGACAAACAAAAGGAAAGTGTGTGGGTGTTGATATCTCTCATATTTGCATAGGATTACATTTAGCATATGTTTTAGTCTTCTCTCTTGCATATTTTCCTTCTCAATTGTCCAATTTTCCTTTGGTTTTAGACTTAGGTTGCATTTAGGTTGTCGTTTGCATTTTCTTTGCATAAAGAATGTTTTTAGGTACCTCAGGAGCCTTTGGAGACATTGTGGAAGCTTGGGAGTGATCTAGGAGGTTGTCCCAGCCAAGGAGAATCAAAAGGAGCCAAGAAAGTGCATTTCAGAGCCAATGTCAACCTATATGTTGTGCCTCCAGCTCAATATCTTCCAGCTGAAAAAGAAGGAGTCCATGTCGTGCACCAATGTCGAGCATCCAAGGGCGACATCCGGAGACAGGATACCCATGTCGAGATGCATCTCGCACGACATAGACGGCCCACACCCAATCAGGATGTCGACCACCCATGTCGCCCAAGACCAGCTCGACATCAAGCACCCGAGAATCAATGTCGAACATCTATGTTGACCAGTCTAGCTCGATATCCTCCTAACTGGAACTTCATTTGTTTACAAGTTTGCCATTGTACTAGGGTATTTGTCTTTTAGTATAAATAGGATTAGACCAAAAAAATTATTAGCAAGTCTTGTTCTTGCTTCTAATCCTGTTTTTCTCTTAATTGCTTTGACTTTGTAAGAACAAGATCCATATTTTTAATCTAAGTTTCTGCATTTATATCTTCAATCTCTCATCCCTAATCATATTTAACCTATTATCTTTGTAGATTTGATAGTTTCGATGATTATTAGTGAGTAGTTCACCTTAGGAGCTTAGATGTGGTAGATTAGCAGGATTTAGATCCTTGATTAAGGCTTGTTAGTGTTTAAGTTCATTGATTCCTCTCTCTATCTTAGACTGTTATTAGGCTTACATATGACTTGATCACATGAATCTAGATTTAGACTTTCTCTTATGCCCACCAACTACCAAGTGTTTGACAAAATGCTGATCTTGTCTTTTAGAGGATTTACTTATCTTAGCTCAAATGATTGACTTTCTAAGAAGTATTTTGGCTTGAGTAGAATTGGTCTATGCTTGCTTGCTATTGATTCTAGTACTAAAGGGAATTAGTTCTTGTTAGGATGTTTAGCAAAATATTAATCACCAAAGGATTGGGTTTAGTTTGTTTAATTGGTGAATACTATGCCTAGGAATTAGCATTACTTGCTTGTTTGCATTGTTAATGAGTTTGATAACAGCCTAATCTTGAGTTGGAATCCCCCAAACTCCATAACCACATTTAGCATCATTGCTTTTAATATCTGGATTTCGAATTTGCTGCTTAGTGCTCTGCTTTGTTTGCGATTTGTTGAATCATTGCTTCTAATAGTTCTGTATAGTCTTTGGTTCTTTAGTTTGATAGTTGAAACAACATTTTGCTGTTTTGGCTTAGATTAGTCTTTCTATTGCATTCCTAATGCATCCATCTTAGACCTGTGGATTGATAAAAACTCTTGCTACAATGACTAGAGCAAGCTTGGATAATTGAGATAGCATAAAAAGCTTGTTTCAGTGGATCTCCTAATTACTAACGTCTTTTTTTCTATTTCTTTTGAACCATTAATTCCTAACGTCTTATCGAAACATGAATTAAAAACACTGTGGGGTTGAATTGTATACATTCACATTTTCACATTTTGAAAATGTGATTCCACTAAATACATACTATTTTACAATATTAAACACTAAATGATAAAAAGTGAAAACTAAAACTCTAATTTTCAATAAATCCCGCACGTTTTAAATTTATAACATGGTTGAATGGTATGAAGCTTTTCCACGTTTTTACGTTTTGAAAATGTAATTCCACTAAATAGGTACCATTCACAATCTTAAGCACTGAATGATAAAACGTGAAAATTAACACGTTATGTTTCAAATTATTCTGCACGTTTTAAATTTATTTCTAGTTTTAAGAAAAATATATTCATATAATAGATACTAGTTTTTTTGCGTTTTGAGTTTATTCATTTTTCAAGTTATCCAGGCTATTGATTTCGCTAGTTTATTATTTAGTTATTCCGCTATTCAACTATTAATTTGACATACCATTTAAACTAGTTTAGAAAAAAAATCTATTCATCTAATAGATACTAACTTTTCAAGTTTTTGAATTTATTCAGTTTTCAATTTACCCATCCTATTGATTCCACTAGTTTAATATTCAACTATTCTGCATTATTAAGTTGACATACCATTGAAATCTGGTATAATTGATCATTTAAAAACACATGTTTCTTCGACGCTAATTCTAAAAGGTTCCTCGAAACATGAATTAGGAAATCAAAGTGTCAAACGCAATAACACTTCGGGTTTTTCTTTTTCTTTGGACTTTGGAACTTTTTGTAAACAATTCTTAAAAGTGTGAAACGCAAGTCTAAAATCAATACAAAACATTAAAATGACAAAAACGCAATCACTCCGACATCTCCTTAAAATTTCACAATTCTTTTATTTATTTATCTAAATTTCATTAAATTATCAAAGTACAAAACGAATGACAAAATCAATACAAAACATTAAAATACAAATTATTACATGAGCATATACAGCATATACTGAAGACGATATATATGAAAAAACGAATTTGAAACGTCAATGTAGCCTACATGATATGATCCTAGTTAAAACATAACACACGTAATAAAGAATACTTATTAAAACAAGGATGTAGCAGAAAATTTTCGGTTGTATGCTGTCAACAGAGAATTCTAAAATCCAACATATAAATTATAAGATAATCTAAACATGGAGTTGACACAAATTCACGTACCTGTCAAAATTTATGATTTGGAATACTCGAATGATTTCCAGATTAGCAACACATTGACACGATTTGTTTAATTGTTTTATTGGCTTTTTGTTTTTTGCATGGAGACGTATTTTAATATACATTTACATTCCTTGGTCAACACAACTTACAATTTTGGCAGTAATTAAAAGATTATGTTTTAACTTAAATACAATACAACCCTTATTTTCAGCAAACCTATTGTTTACCGTCACATATCTTTCGTTACACAGAATTTTTAAATGTATAAGATAATTACAACGACAAGTCACAATACAGCCAATAGCTTCGCATATTGATAAATAAAAATAACGTGCGTTTACGATAACCTAAAATAGTCTCAGAGTTAGAGACGTGTTGCTTAAACCACTACCATATAAATACGTAACTAAGACATCTGATTTCAAAACACAGACAGAAAGAGAGATAGACAAATGTCGACGGAAACTGAAGTGATAGCTCCGGTGATCAACGGCGCAGACAGAGGATGTTGCAAGCCCGGTCCCGGTTATCCGACGCCGATTGCGGCTATGTCCGGTCCATCTGAAAAACTCATCTACGTCACTGCTATCTACACTAACTCTGGTACACATTTTTATTGTATATTCTGATATAATATAGTTGATTGAAGATTTTGAAATCTCTAGGTTCCAGATAGAAATCATAATACCCTAGCAATTTTTTGTTAAGGAGATTGTTAATGAGACGATCGAGTCTTATTATGTCTTTGAGTGAAAATATATGTTTTTGATTGTGTGGTGTGTATTCAATTGAACAAAAAAAAAAATGAATGGTTTCTTTGTATTCTGATACCTTTTAATATCTTATCACAAACCGCTCTGTTCTCATTATGTTAAGTTTTATCGCACTTCTAACTCAAAATCAATTGGAAAATCCACAACATTAAATCCGTCTATCAAACGAGACTAATGTCTTTTTGGATTAAAGAATACTGAAAAATCTTGATTCCTCTGTAGTATGATACCTATTGATTTGTTGGATTGTGTAATAAGGAATCGGACCAGAGAAGCCGGATTACTTGGCTACAGTGGATGTGGATCCAAACTCAGAAACATATTCAAGCGTCATTCACAGATTGCCAATGCCTTTTGTTGGTGATGAGCTTCATCATTCTGGTTGGAACTCTTGCAGCTCTTGCCACGGTGATGCTTCTGCGGAAAGACGCTATCTCGTTTTACCATCATTTATGTAAGATCATTCCCCCTCTCCTTGTTACCCTACTACATCGCTATAAGTTTCTTTCTTGATGATGACCAAATAGTTATATTTTTCTTTCTCGTTTGAATGAAGATCCGGTCGCATCTATGCGGTTGACACAAAGGAAAACCCTAGGGCTCCGTCTTTGTATAAGTATGTATGTCCTAAAGAGATTGCTGAAAAGACTGGATTAGCGTATCCACACACGGCTCATTGTCTTGCCTCGGGTGAAATTTTGGTGTCCTGTCTTGGGGATGAAGAGGGAAACGCTGAGGGGAATGGGTTTCTCCTCCTTGACTCTGATTTAAACATCAAGAAAAGGTATCTTATTGCACAAACAAATCATTATGTTTTAAGTTTCTTAACACACTATTAGTCATAATCTCATATACCATTGTTGGTGATTCTTACTCTAAAAGTTAAAACAAAACTATAAAGTTTATCACATACTCAGCAAAAAAAAAAAACTTTTTTAAATAGAGTGATAGCCAAGGAAAGTGCATACCGCCGATGCAATGACTTGTGACAGAAGTCAGAAGCATTAAAATGGAATTGATGTTTTTTTTTGGTGGGATGACTCAGGTGGGAGAAACCAGGTAATAGTCCCTTGTTTGGTTATGATTTCTGGTACCAACCTCGGCACAAGACCATGATCAGCACATCTTTTGGAGCACCTAAAGCCTTTACCAAAGGCTTCGATCTCCAGGATGTTGCTGATGGCTTGTACGGACGTCATCTACATGTTTATAGTTGGCCAGGAGGTAAAATGAAACAATTAATTGACCTTGGAGAGACGGGTCTCTTACCTTTGGAGGTAACATAATCAGACTTCTCTTTATAAACGAGATCTGTAGGTTTTTCTTTAGAAATCATATATTTATGAAAGTATTATTCTTTTTACTAACGGCTACACTTGAACCTGTAAGGATTAATCCCCACAAGGTGTTAAAAGCCCGGATAATCCTCCCTCTGATTATTAAAAAAAGTAAAAACATTTACCGTTTGTGATTGCAGATAAGATTCTTGCATGATCCGTCTAAAAGTGAAGGGTATGTTGGGAGTGCCTTGTCAAGTAATATGATAAGATTTTTCAAGAACAAAGATGACACATGGAGCCATGAGGCAAGTGTAGTTTCTTGATCTTCTTCTTGATTAACTTTTTTTTTTCTCTCTCTTTCAAATCGGTAAATAAGCTGCGATTTGAACTGTTTTTTCAGATAGTTATACCAGTTAAGCCTCTGAAAGTCGAGAACTGGATTCTTCCAGAAATGCCGGGGCTTATCACCGACTTCTTGCTCTCCCTCGATGACAGGTTCATGTACTTTGTGAACTGGTTTCATGGAGACATTCGTCAGTACAACATCGAAGACACTAAAAATCCTATCTTAACCGGACAAATTTGGGTAGGAGGATTACTACAAAAGGGCAGTCCTGTTAAGGCCGTTGGAGAAGACGGCAACACATTCCAGTTCGATGTTCCCCAGATCAAGGTTTGTCCCCAAAATGTAATATTTTTGGGGTTCTATACTACATTTTTACATTTCGCATTGTATTGAAAATGTTTCTTCTCTGGCAACTTCAGGAGAAATCTCTACGTGGAGGACCTCAGATGATCCAGCTGAGCCTCGATGGGAAACGACTATATGCAACAAACTCGCTGTATAGCGTATGGGACCGTCAGTTTTATCCTGAACTCATGGATAAAGGCTCGCATATGATTCAGATTGATGTTGATACAGAGAAAGGTGGTCTCACCATAAACCCTAATTTCTTTGTGGACTTTGGTGATGAGCCTGATGGTCCTGCGCGTGCCCATGAGATGAGATATCCAGGTGGAGACTGCACCTCCGATATATGGCTTTGAATTTGGCATGTGTGTGTGTGTGTTTTTGTAAAGTTGAATAAAAAGGGAGTCATAAGTGGTCCCTTGATTTCGTGTGGTGTGTGATCCAGAAAATTTATATTTGTTTCTTGTACTCAACTACTCATTCTGGCTAATGATGCTTTAATTTGTAATAAATTTTTCTACATTTCAAGTAGGGTAAACACTCTGTTCCGTTCGTATCACTTTTTCAAGATATATTTTTAACTTTTAGTGCATTTTTAATTAATATTACTGAATTGTAGGTTTCAACACTGATTGAAAATAATTGAATTTTATTAGATTATTATAAGAAATTGTTAAGAATATAAAAATGCTGGTGAGACTAATGATAATGGTGATGATGAGTATGAATATACTGTATGATGATAATCTGTTTCTCTATCTCTAGATGAACCAACGTACCGGCAGTTACTTAAAACATTAAATTAAGAAAAAGCGCGTACAACGATGGATATTATCACAAGGTTATGAAAGAAATTGAGCAACTTCTGAAATTATATGCGTTATCTTGAATTTGACAGATAAGTTTACTCGTGAAACCATGATTGTTTACTCGTGAAATTATGCACGACATCAACCTATATAGATAAGTTTTACCAACTAAAAATTTCTAGTAAATGTAATCGTGTTCATTTGAAGCATTTAAAATTTTTAACAGTTAAAAATGGTTAGCTATTAAATATTATTCAATTTTTAATTTACTTTTTCTTTTGTAATATGCATTTTCTTATTTTATACAAACCGCAGTTGTTATTTAGTTTGCTGTTTATAATAGCTTTTAGCTGTGATCAGAAACTCGCCGAGCGTTAACGGGCGCTCATTTCCGACCTAACAATTTTTACAATAATCGGAACTAAATCAGGGAGTTTTAGGGCTTTTATAGTTTATATTATATATATATATCATATACTTATATATTAAGAACTAGCATATGCGGTGGTTTGGGCGGTTTTGACTTTGTTTAAGTTCATGAGTTCTAGTCTTTGTAGGCACTATTGATCATTTCATTCTTTTGGCTGAAAACTACATTAAAAAAAACGAAACATCAATCCGAGCATGCTTACCTAATAGGTTACATTATTGATTGGAAGGAATTTTATTTAGCCATGTTGGAACATCATCTAGATGTATCAATGTCTCTATTTTGAAGTGTTACTAATATAACTTTCCCTTCTGCTTCAAGAGAAGATAATATATATCTCAGATCAGCAGAGCCCTAATACTTACAATCACTGTTTGAATCACGGACAATCCAACTAACTGTACCTTTATTCGTAGAACTGTTGAAAGCAGCATAATAATTACATTTGTAACTTCGTGCATGGGGCCGGGTCCATGTATTTTGGCGGTGGGGATGGTGTATTACGGAGGGAATAAAAGGCGTGGTCGATGTAGAGGTTGATGTAATCCATTCTGTTACATCTGCCATTTCTGTATTAACATCTTTGCTCATTTTGATTATTTGTTTCTGAAAAATAAGATTATTCCAAGATTTCCATATTATTCACATTAACCAAAATGAAAAAAGTTTGACCATATCTGAAAGCCCTTGAGTATTTTGGGCGTCTAAGATCAAGTTCATTGTTGTTTATGTGTCTTGTGTAAACATTGTTAGGAAATTGAGCGGTGTTTTTGATAATCTCGAGGTTGCAATAGAAACGGAGCAAGTGAAAAATAGTTGATGGATTGTTTCAGCCTTTCAGGTGCTACTCCACATCTTACACATGTGTCATCAATATTAATGCTTTGACTTCTTAAACGTGTGGCAGTTCTTTAGAAAGAATTTTTCATAAAAAGAACTTAATCTTTGGTTTCATTTTGAGATTCCAAATCTTTTTCTTAATAAGTGGATCCCCATGTGGAATAGTTGGAGTAGTGCGACGAAATTAAGGATCACGATTTAAAAACCGATAGCCTGACTTTATAGAGTATTGTCCATTCTTTTTGTAATTCCAAACCGTATTGATCTGAATCACAGAAAACCGCCACCACTCATTAGTTGAGTTTCATCTTCTTCATCACTTTCATTGTTTTATTTTTATATTTTGTCAAGTTTCTATCCAAAATTTATAGATTTGTAAAGATATGTCGTTATTTAAGCGAAAACGAACACAAAAATGAGTTTTTTTTATTAACTCTTCCAAATTTTTAATCGATTAGGTTGAAATTGCGGTGGCTTCTGGTCGCCAGGCACTTTTACTCCGAAAAATCAACTGCCGTGGCCGCGTTTTCGAATAGGGGCTTTTAGTAGTTGTAACGTGGACCGTTGCTTAAGACAACTTAGAATCGTAACTCATCATCTCACTATCATATTTTGGAATTCAATTCTTTTTTATTGAACCAAATTAGATTCTAACTTCTAAGAGAGAATAACTATATATATATATAAAAAATCCGATGCTTTTATTCGCTTAATTATATATTATATTATTCTTGACAAATTGCATTAAATTTTTAAATCGTTTTCATTAATACAAATAAAAGTAATGTAAATCAACGTTAAAAATAACCATGCACGTAAGTATTATGTATAGTTAATAGTTGTATTTGTACTTATGTTGCATGGAAACGAAAATGGGTACGTGGAAGCGGAACGTTTCGAAACGTGAAAACGCTATTTAAAAAAAATATAGAAATAGAAACGTTTTGGAAATGTGTATATATATATATATTAAGTATTAAAGATCTAATTATAAGTAGAATATTTAAATCAATAAAATTTAATATATAATTTTTACATAATTATTAAACTATAAAAATTAAAATATGTAAAGTCAAAAATTTAGAAGACTTTTTTTTTATTATCAATTTTATTAGTTTTATTAACCAATCTATCTCTAATTCTTATTCATCCAGAGAATAATTTTCAAACTTAATAATCTCAAAATTAATCTTAATTACCAAATCAAAATATTTATTATTTACTATAAATAAGTAAATCCATTATTTAATTTAATTTTTATAATTATTTATTTATTCTATAAAAATAAGAAATTAGTTTTTATTTTCTTTCCAAAATAGAAGCGCGTGTTTCTAAAATGGAAACGCGTTTCCAAAGTGTTTCTAAATTATAATTTTTAGGAAACGTGATTTTTCGTGTTTCCGACGAGTTTCCAAGAGTTTCGGTTTCCGAAACGTTTTGAAACGGGAAACATACCTCGGACGGAGTTTCCATGCAATCTAGATTTGTACTAGTTATTTTCTTAATCAAAGGACGGCTTTATTGTCTTTTGCTCGAATAATTTTGAAAAGAAGAAAAAAAAGAAGAAATTGTTTTCTATAAAAATAATTTATCCTTTTACGAAAGTAAAAGAAGATTCGATAACGCATTACAAGTTGAAACGAATATCTTCTACTATAAATAATGGATGTACCCAATAAACATATAATTCAAAGTATAAACCACAACAAGCATGGAGTATTACACATTTTCTCAAAGATTTACCGAAGCCGACAAAGAACGTGCATCGGGAAAGCATCACGTGAAGAATACGTGGGTGAAAGAACGTTACGAGAGCGATGAAGAAGAGGGTTCAAGAGTGGAAGGTGTGAACAAAATGATCCTAAAAGAAGAAGATGATGAAGAAACTAAGGAAATGGTGACGTCATCGGGTGGTGAGAGGATGATGTTGACAAGTAAAGTGAGGTATCTGAGCTATGGAACTCTCAAACATGATACGCCGCCGGCTCCAGCGACTTCTGGTGGCGGAGTAAGAGCCTTGCCTCCTCCGTCGAACAGGTACAACCGTGGTCATCCCAAGTACTACAGATGCAGGGGTTGAAGTGAGAACTCTCCGGAGATAAAATAATTTCAAATTAATATATATATATATATACTATACATGAATGATATAATAAATTTGGTAAGTATATGCTTCCAATTCCATGCAACTATGTGCTTCTATGTTGTAATCATGTTACAAAATAATGATATGTAGTTAAACAAAATAAAATAAAATAATGATATGTAAAAGCATATTTATTGGTGAGAAACTTACAAAGTTATATTATTATTATAATATTTTGTTTTTAATATAGATTATTTATGTAATAAAATTTTAAGTTATGAAAAGACACTAACTATTTATGTGAAGATAACTGTTATATGAATTTTTTCACTGGGTTTTCAAAATTTCTCATTTGAGAGAGTTTTTTTATTCTCTTTTTTTTTTCTTTTTCTAATTTTTGTTTTTCTTTTGTTAATACGAGAGATTCACTGAAAATTTTTTAATGGAGCAGAAAATGTATATATAGCTGATCATCGTTTTTTTCAGTAGTTAATTGGTTATGAAACCTACTTTAGTATAAAAGATTTCTTATTCATCTTAATGTTAATTAAGAATGTGACTTATATACTGTTTGAGAGCAATTTACAAGATACTTGTGAAAGAGTGTATTTGTCATCGCGAGTGAATTTTATTTTACATGTTCGTCCACTGAAGATGAGTAGCGCCGATGTAATCTGGTGGGTTAATCATCCGGGACTTGGAACAACTTGAACAACTGGTCAATCGGCCTCCGAGAGGATAAGACGTAGGTTTCTCTTCCAAAAACTCTTTGACATCCAAGTTAAAAATGTTCTACCGGGAAAAAATACTTAGAAAAATGGGTTTGTATAGATTAAAGGTTGAATACTATGTCCGGAGATTGTAGCATCTGTCTAGTATTCTATGGTAACCGGGCGGTTCAATGATGTCACAAGAAAAGGGGGGGGGGGGGGGGGGGGGGGGGGGGGGGGGGGGTGTTGGAGCTCTGTCACGACATGTGGGATCTTGAAGGGAGATGGTCATACCTCTTGTGACACATCCTCTAGACTGGAATTGTCTGGGAATGGCTGTGGCCAGTTAGGAGACGTCATGTGTGAGCTCTTAAACTCCCAGATCAAGGGTCCAATGAGACCTTTTTAGGGCTCATCAAATGATTCTCCTCTATTATCAGCATGATCTATTTCTCTTCATATGATCGTTTGTCCTTTAGAGCCCTCGGCCAATCGACCAACCTCCTCTCTTATGAGTAATGAGGTCGCATTTATACTATCTTGATCTGGTTTCTTATTGGTTCCGCATGTTGCACCGAGTAGGCTTTCTTCATAGAGGATAATGATGAAAACAAGTTTGTAGCCAAGGAGAAGCAAGAAAAATACAAGCTTGTAGCTGATGAAGATCTTGAAGTCCCAAGAGGTCTAATGACACGCTCAAAGACTAAGGAATTTCACAATGCCTTAGAAATTTTATTCAATCATATCAAGAACAATGAAGACAAGGCTGAACTTACTACTCTGGTATG